GCCCAACTCAAATTCTGAGTTTCAATATCAAATAGGGTGTGTAAATGAACGAGCTTGAGTAAATAGCTGAACAAGTCCTATAAACGAATTCGAATTCGAATTTGACTGGTTATATAAATATTAATGAGCCGAGTTTGAACCTTAGGACTTAAAAAAAAAATACATAAAAGTTTCTCGAGTCAACTTAACAAATTCAAACATTAACGAGTTGAACTCACAAATGGTTCACTTCACAACAACTCTATTATCATCTTCGGTCTTGAATGTAAATCTCAATTTTAGAAAATTTACTGCTAGATTATCCTAACAAAAAAAAAAGTTCATGATCAAATTGATTTGCATGCATTTATTGTGGAAGACAAACTCAAAAGAAAAGAAGTTGCATCCATCACTATTTTGAGTATTCTAATAATAGGGTTTACAATACTACTGATCCCAGACCTGCACCAACAAAACATTTCACTGAAACTTTAGCTCAACAGCTTAAAGGTCAATTGTTTTTACATAACCGAGTCCTTGTTTCGAGTACATTCAAAGGTCTAGATTTTTTTTTCTAGACCTTTAATTCGATATAGCAAATCGTCGGTGAACCCCTTCCTTTTTAGATGATACCGCTAAGGGTTGTAGGGTGAAGCTTTTTTGCCCGATATCCTTTTTTTATCATTTCCCACCTGGGAAGGGACGAGCTCCCAAAGGTCAGACCGATGTGTCCCAGGTGATTCAATTTTCTGTTAAATCTGGATCAATTTTATTCAAGCTCAAATAGAATCAAATTGGAATAAATATTAGCATTAAGAAGAGAGGGAAACGCAAGGTTTACAATTATTTTGGCCGAACCGTCAAAGTAGGCCAAAAAAAGGAGTAAATAAGAAAGATTCAGAGTCAAAGGGGTTTTAGATGACAGACAAAGAAAGTTGCTGCTTCTGATCTATCTTCTTCCGAATAAAGCAGTGCTATTGGCGGCTTCGCCTAGCCAATCTTGCACTTGAAGTTAAAATACAACACACCTACTTGAATGGAAAAAGACAGAGATAACTCTATCCTAGCTACCGTTACAGGGAACGGAGAAATCCCTTGCTACCAAGTGCCAGTAGTGTAAGAAATCCCTGCAATAAGAACGTGGACCATGCATGAGAACTTCTTGCCGTGTGTTACCGACGCTTGGAGCCATGTCGGTAGGGGATCGAGTCTGGGCTAGACATTGCTCTACATGATACTTATTATGTGGTTGCACATTTCCATTATGTACTAACAAGCTAGGTAGCGGCTAAGAGGTCTTTCCTTTCCTATAGGCTTTTAGGACAAAGTGTCAAGGTAATAGCTATGAATAGTCATCGACTTCGGGGAAAGGGTCGAAGAATGGGACCTATTATGGGACATACAATGCATTACAGACGTATGATCATTACGCCTCAACCGGGTTATTCTATTCCACCTCTTAGTATTCTATTAAAAAAAATACACAAAGTTTCTCGAGTCAACTTAACAAATTCAAACATTAACGAGTTGAACTCACAAATGGTTCACTTCACAACAACTCTATTATCATCTTCGGTCTTGAATGTAAATCCCAATTTTAGAAAATTTACTGCTAGATTATCCTAACAAAAAAAAAAAAAGTTCATGATCAAATTGATTTGCATGCATTTATTGTGGAAGACAAACTCAAAAGAAAAGAAGTTGCATCCATCACTATTTTGAGTATTCTAATAATAGGGTTTACAATGATTCGACAAGGATACGAAACAAAAATACAAAAATAAATGACATGATAAACACGACACAACCAAAAACCCGACAAGAAAAATGCGGAAAAAAAATAGTTAGTCTGAACTTGCATAAAAGCACAACATTGGATCACGGACACGATACCACAACTTGCCACCTCTAAATAATAAATGTCATCTCCATAGAACGACTAAGTTTTACATTGGCTTGCCAAACTTATCACAACCCTCCTCCTTTACAAGGACTTGAGACATGCTATGTTGAGACAATATAGGCGGAGTTCTCTAAATATACCCAATTAATTTAAAAAAAAAAATGCTATAATGGTAGGAGAAGTGCACTATCTGGGAAAAAAAAATATGTTTCTGGAAAACATCATTAGCCTCATGGAGAGCCTTTTATTACAAATTACAATTCTCAAAGCAAAACCAAAGTACAAGCACATCATAAATATGAATATGATACACAAAATACATTTATTTTCTCAAACACATTACATGTCCATCAAACTCTAAGCACCACACACAATAAAAAAAATTACAAACAATACAATATATATATAGGGTGATTTGCACAAAGCAGCTCTTTACATTTCAAGACACAAGATACTCAACATACACATTGAGTAGTTTACTTCTTCATGTATGCTAAAAAAACAGCAACAGAAAAAATAATTATTATATTCTCTCACTCACGATGAGAGGGGCTTTTCTTGAACAATGCATACGCATCACTGTATATTGCAACCAGGTTGGAAAAGATAGCAAGAACAATCATGAAAATGGATAACATCTTGTCCCGATTTGTGGCTATACCATATCGGTCCCTGCACGAGCAAGAAATAATATTCGACACGTGATTATATAAATTTAGGATAACGGAAAATGTGGTACCAAAGGATTGGAATATATGCAAGCTTTCGGATATCTACATTTACCAAAGGTAATTTATATCACAGTCTACAGACACTCACCTTAAAGTAATGGCAGCAGGAATTATAAAACCGATGCAAACGGCTGCAGTTGCTCCAGTGAACTGGAAAGCATCCCAAATGCTCGGTATGAAATTCGCGCCCAGAAAAATCATGCTGATGAGCCCAATGCTAAGGGATGTGAACCTCAGGTTGTCTGAGGCCAAAGGCCTTGCCGAGGGAAAAAGGAGCCCGTCCAGGTTTAGTCTTAGAGGATAGAACACAATGGGGAAGACGAGCATTAGGTGGGCCGCGTAGCTGACTCGGACGGCATCATTGAGCAGGGAGCCGAACGGGATTCCAAGATCGGTCGAGAAGTTGGCCAGCACATCGTCCAGGGTGGCGTCGCCAAATAAGAGGAACCCGAAAAGGCTCGTCATTACATAGATGGTCGAGCATAGGGCAAGGGATGTTCGCACGACCCCCTTGATTTGAGTGTTGTCCTCGAGCTCATTGTTTATTGAGTGGACTGCCAAAAAAAAAATTTAAAAAAAAATGGCATGAAGCTGTTTTAGATATGAAAAGTTCGTATCAGGGCCCAGATTTTTTGTGTGTGTGTGTGTGTGTGTGTGTGTGTTTTTTTTTTTTTTCCTCAAATTAGTCCCTAGTAGAAAAACAAAAGCAAAATTTGAGCCCTACATTGAAAGTTGAAAAAATGAGCTCCAGTTGAGGAAAAACTAAACAACAAATGCGGGTTCTTTATTGAATTTTTTTCCTTTACAAGCCGCCCTGAAAGCTTTTCCTCGAGAATATTTCAGCCAACGAAAAGATCAAAAAGTGCAGACATCAAACATTCAATTTCAATACATACCATTGTAGTGGCAGATGTATGCAGTGACCAGAACAGGGACAGCGGTGAAGAGGTTGAGGAACGAGGTCAGACTGTTGACATCTGGAAACAACCGAGGCATCAGAGTAGTTCCATTTATCAACTTGAAGAGTGTGATTCCCACGGTTATAACAAGGAACACTACAGCAAGTGCCACCGATAAAGCAGATGTATAACTCAACGAATCTGCAAAAGACGAAATGGTAGTGAATATACTTGCAAAATCTGTTAATAAAAAAGATCCAAAATCTGTTTAGCATTTTTATTTTCTTGGCCACGATCATGAGTTGCAAATTAATGGGACAAAATGTTCACTTTTATTAGAAAAGTGTATAATCCAGAGAAAAACACACAAGCAGAAGCAATCTCATGTATCCTCACACATTAACTCTCCATAAACTAACTCAAAATGAGCTGTTGTATATGCAATTACATGTACAAAATAGTATAACAAAGCTTAACTGATCCAACAAAATCCAAAACCATTTACTATCGTGATACAACCGAACAGAACTCTGAGTAACAAAATCCAAATTAATCACAAAAAGACTCACCGATTCTCTTTAAGCTTGCCAATGGTGCAAATACGGCTAGTGTTGTAATAAGCAGCACGGAAAATCGCCCGTTCCACCAATGTTCTCCAAACCAACCTTCCAGAACACCCGCATGATGAATTCCATCGGATGTTGTTCCAGAAAGCACATCACCTTTAAAAAACCAATAAATCCTCCATAAGTCCATCAATCACCCCAAAATTAACTCACATACACACAGACCTATAAATTCATATTTGATATAGAATTACTCATATCGACACATTACAACAAAATAAATAAATAAATAAAAATCAAATCAACTCAAAAGGGTACCTATTATAATCATGTACACAACAAGAACACCAACATTGTTGACCAATACACACAGCTGAATCAACATCCTGCCATACTTTCCAAATGCATTCCCCATAAGACCTCCGTAAGAAACCGACTTCGATGCCCGGCTGAACCTAAGCAGTAACTCGATCGAGGCCTCTGTCAAGAACGCCGTGAATACGATCATTGCAATCCCAAGAAAGAGCCCCAAAACCTTCATGGTCGCAGGCAGAGCCATGATACCAGCACCAACTACAGTTGTCGATAAATTAAATACTGCCCCACTAAAAGAAGCCCCATTGAACTCATCAAATCCACCATCTTCCCCATGTTTAGTAGGCAACAATGGTGATTTCTCATCGACTATTGGTTGTTTGCTCTTCCTCGACTTCCTTTCTTTGGCTGGTTTAACGCTTCCGGTCGTCATCTTCAAATTTATTCGTCAAGCTATTCAAAATTCAACAAAATCTGCACAGAAAGCTTGCTACTTTAACAACTAATCCATAAAACTAATCAGGCTTGTGAAATCTTACAAAAAAATAGTAAAAAAAAAACAAATCTTTACAAGCACTTTCTTAACTGAGCTGCGCACGAAGAACTATTGAACTAACCTTAAAACCCTTCAATCAAACTGAGTTTTATAAACTCTACACCACAGAATACCAATAAAAGAGAGAGATGCAGGAAAATTAAGATTATAAAAATGGAAAGTAGATATAAAATTGGCCACGCAACATTCAAATAGATGATAAAATAATTGGTTTCAGCTGTTTAGATGAATGATTGCTTTCGTGTGACGAATGGGGCACGCGATAAAAATCCAATCTTTTTTTTTTTTAATTGTTCAGTAAAAATAAAATCTTGGAAAAATCTGCAAACTCTGTAAAAAAAGAAAAGCAGTAAAAAGCTACAATCCCTCTTTTTTTTCTTCTTCTTCTTGTTATTTTGGTTATCCCTTTTTACTGAATTGGGTGCGATTAACTTTGTCGGCGGTTGAACGGCTGGCCGGAGGCGGTCGTTTTCAGTGGGCCCTTTTGAAGCTGGCCGTATATGAGCCCACCGCAAAAGACTTAACGCGGTGTTTGATTGGAATGAAGAAAAAAAAGCCTTCCGTACGAAAACAAAAACGAAATCAAGACCAAGAAGAAATACACGAGAAGGCTGTAAGAAAGAAGGCTGTAATTTAATATAATGTCTTCAAAATTCTATTTGACAAATTTTTAAATTTGTTGTTTGGTTTGGATGAATTTTAATTTATTTTTAATTCAAAGTAATTAGGCTTGAAATATTTATAAATATACTGGATATTTATGATCTATTTTAAAAACGTTAATTTTATTTTAGTACTATTTTCTATTGTAGACATGATTTATAAGGTATAATTTTTTTCAATATTGTTTTTTTTTTTGGTACAGGGAGCTTCCGATTTCCGGACTATAACAAATTTACTAACTTAAATTATAAATATATTTAAAAATTAATAAAAAATTACAAGCATTTTTTAAAATTAATCTTGGTTTGATGAATTCGATTTGACATCTATATTATACATAAAAACTAAATATATAATTAAAATTAAATTAACTGTTTACATTAATTAAAACAATTAAATTTATGTAAACTAACTTAACTACAAAGTAGTTATTTGATATAAAAATTTTTAAACAAATAGAATATAAGATAGTAAGTCGCGTAAATTACAGTGTCATTTTAAATATAAACTAATAATCTAGTTTTTAAAAAAGTATTTTTGAAATTGAAACTGTTGATATGGCTCATATATTGACAAAAGAAGGAGGCAGGCTAATGCCTGCGAGCGTAACGGAGTGAACGTAGCGAGGGAAGCGGAGTGGAGCGAGCAGGCATCAGCCCTTGTTGGGCTGGGTCGATTAGTTGGGCCGGGGGTGCGGGGCGGAGCCCCCGCGGTACGGTACGGGGTATTTAAGTAAATTAATACCTTGTAGGATTATAGTATACATACATGGTGTATTGATGTATTTGAGACTATTGAGAATAAAAAAGATCTCTCAGCCGCCGTGGACGTAGGCACATTGCCGAACCACGTAAATCTTTTGTTGTTTACTTTTCTCGATTTTTTTAATTCGTATGTCATATTGTCATCTTTACTCAACAAGTGGTACCAGAGCCTGGTTGATTGGGCGACGGAGATAACGGGAGGATCGAAATTCGAGTTCTCGAAATTTGATGGTCATGGCAATTTCAGGTTATGGCAGACGAGAGTAAAAGATTTATTGGCGCAACAAGGAATTCAGAAAGGGTTGCGCGCAGAAAAGCCAAAGGGGATGGAAGACGATGATTGGCAAGATCTGCAGGAACGGACGGCCAGGATGATTCGGTTGTGCCTTGCAGATGAAGTTATGTATCACGCTATGCATCTGAAATCGGCGGATGAGATCTGGAAGAAACTGAAATCGCAGTTTATGCCGAAAACCCTAACGACAAAACTGTATCTGAAGCAGAGGTTATACGGGCTGAAGATGCAGGAGGGGACCGATTTAGGGCAACATATGAATATCTTCAATCAGGTTGTCACGGATTTGGCTTCACTCGAAGTCAAGATTGAAGATGAAGACAAGGCGATGATTTTACTGTGTTCGTTACCTCCTTCTTACGAACATATGGTGACTACCCTTACATATGGGAAAGAAACGATCAAGACTGAGGAGATTACTTCAGCGTTGTTGGCTCACAACCAGCGGAAACAGAAATCTGGAGACTCATCTTCTCAAAGTGACAGTTTATATGTGAAGGGTAACCAGGATCGTGGAAGAAAACAGGTGCGGGATAATTCAGGAAATCGGAATTTCAGATCCAAGTCGCGAGACAAAATCGAAAGGGAGGAAAACTGTGACGTGTTATAAGTGCAAGGAACAAGGGCACTTCCAACGGGATTGCCCAAAGTGGAAGAAACAGACTGCTGATATGTCATCCAAGTCTGCGAATGTGGTACAAAATGAGGAATCCGATTGCAGTGATGGAGATATGTTATCTATTTCGACTACGACAGTATGTTGATGTTTGGATTCTCGATTCTGGATGTTCATATCATATAACGCCTAACAGAGAGTGGTTTGCTACTTATAAACCAGGCAACTCGGGCTCTGTTTTTCTTGGTGATGATAGATGTTGCGGTATTGTCGGTATTGGAGATGTCAAAATCAGGATGTATGATGGAACTGCTAGGACATTATGTGATGTGAGACATATCCCTGAGTTGAAGAAGAATTTGATTTCTTTGGGTACTTTGCATATAAATGGTTTCATTCCCAAAGCTGATGAGGATAGAGAAACCATTAAGATTGTGAAGGGTGCTTTGACTGTGATGAAGGGGAGGATCACTACAGGGAACATTTACAAACTGTTGGGAAGTACAGTTGTAGGTGGAGTCCATTCGGTGGAGTCGTGTGAAGATAGCACAAAATTGTGGCACATGCGTCTTGGACATCTTAATGAACATGGCATGACTGAACTGCATAAGAGGGGGCTTCTGCATGGTGTTAAAACTTGCAAACTCAATTTCTGCAAGTGTTGTGTTCTGGGAAAGCAGACAAAAGTCAGTTTCAAGACTGGGAAGAAGAAGAAGACAAAAGGAATTCTGGATTATGTACATTCAGATGTGTGGGGTCCTACTAGAGTGACATCGATTGGTGGTTCTTTGTACTATGTTACCTTTATTGATGATTTTTTGAAAAAATTTTGGGTGTATTTCATGAAGCATAAATCTTAAGTTTTTGCTAAATTCAAGCTATGGAAGGCTTGTTGGAACCCACGAGGATCTCGATATGCACAAATCACAGACAAACATTCAACATAAACCTATGCGCAGCGGATCTAAAGGTTTGATGAAGAAAACTTACTGCT